TGATGTCCTTGATATCATCCAACAACTCCTCTGCTGTTTGGTCATTGGTGTTGAATGCACCAAATTTATTCTTCAGATGGTCTCTAAATTCAAGTAGAATATACTCAAGGGTGTAATTTGGCTCTCTTTGACTTGTTTTAATGTTCTTTCACTTCAACTGAAACATGCACATGAGCAATTGATTGTCTTTCATTGGTTCAATGATAAATAATCAGAATGTGGTGCTTTACATACATTGTACACATTCCAACAAGCCTAGAAGACAGGATTTATTAAATCTACTTCACAGACAATGAGCCTGAGGCTCACAGAGTTTGGTAATGTGCACACGTTCACAAGTCCAGTACATACCAGGGCTAGACTCCATCTAGCCATCTGGAGCCCACCCTGTTCCACTCCTCATAACCAGAGACTGATCCTGTCTTTCTTAATTCACTTTTTGTCTCTGCACTACAACGTGTTTCCCAGGTGATAAAAACAATATCTTTGTAGCCAAAGCACTGGGTTAGAATACACAGCTAGAACCGTAAGAACACCAAAATAAATGAGTGGTATGAATAAATGAGATAAAGAGATAATTCTTATTGGAAATATGATCATCTATTTATGCTATATCAGATAACCTCCAAACATAGGGACTCACAAAAGATTCTTGGACAGAGCCTTTCCCATTTGAAATAAATCTTTTAGGCCCAAATCAAGATACAAAATACATACCAAGTCTGGCTAATGAAATTATGAAATAGATCAACATGTGTTTTGTCTGAAAGCCCACCACCTGTCCTTGTGGTACTGCTTCCTCATTTCATATCACTTTTGGGACAGGCACCCGGTCTTTGCAGGTTCCAGTGGGAAAATTACTCATGAGTTGGAGGGATGACATTTTCAGGGAAGCCTTTAATCCAAGAGCTAGGAACCAAGAAAAATACACTTGGAGTAAAGACTGGGAAGATTAATATCCCAGAATACAGGGATCACACAGAGACCAGCTGGAACCTGTTCTCAGACCTAGAAAGCCCCAGACAGAGCTGTCAGGCTGAGCATCACCTCCCTTACTCTTCAGAATTCTCAACAACTTGAGAGCCTTGGCCTAAGTGGGCACCTCAAGTCAGTAGTTATAGGAGTCCAGTCTCTGATACCATATTTTCATACCCACGTAAATAACATACACACACATATGACATAGATAGTGCACATAGGAAAGTAACATGTGAGAGGGTTGCATGGTTTGCAAAAACTATAATATGTATGTTATTTGCAAAACAAAACAGTAAATATCTGGGTGATGACCCTGAATGAAGATGATTGGAGAACCCAGACAGAATAATGGTGTCCCATAGAGACTCATGTCTGCTGTCACTCCTGCCAGATCCTGAAGAGCTTTGGACAAATGTTGATCACACTGATTCCAAAGCATGGTGCCATTAAGGTGTGCACATTGACCAGAGAGGCATCCTCAAACCAAATCAAAACCCAGTGCTGCTGAGTCAATTCTGACTCATAGCGACCCCCACTGGGTTTCTGAGGCAGTAAATCTTTACAGAAGCAGATAACCCAGGTTTGCTTCCACGGAGTGGCTGGTGGGTTTGAACCACCAACCTTCTGGTGAGCACTCAGATGCCATAGGCACTGTGCTACCAGAGTTCCCATCATCCTCAGGGAAGGAGAATAAATTCCCAGGATTGATCAGGAGCTAAGGTGAGGACTCTGAGCAATGAGAGAATGATCCACCACAGAACACAAAAGGCCCCATAAAATCACTCCCAGCTGCTGTCTGAGGCACAGCTCAGAGGAGTCAGGCTAAACAGTACCCTCATTTCCTCTCCAGAAGCAGCTATGCAGAGATTGTGTCAGGCCCTCAATGCAGTACACTTGTCCTTAGTCCTGAAGAGAGGGGCTACTTAAGTCCTAAAGGAAGCAAGATGAGGATACTTCCTGCGGGTTTTTTTTTTTTTTTTAAGGATTCCACAAAACAAAGGGCTCTTCAGAGAGCCCCACCCCAGTTAAAAGTTCTAGGAGTTTTCTCCAAAGCTCCTAGTCTGAGGCTCCCCTTTATTTCCTCTATATGGTTTCTGGGTGGCAAGGGCTTTGGTGTGTGCTGGATGGGGTGGGGGAATGGATGGGTGGAGTGATGAGGGTGTGGGTGAGGGAAGTACTACTGGTTTTTCGACAGAGGGAATAGACTAGGACCTAACAGGAGTCCAAGTGAAGACTTTGTGTCTTTTGAGGCGACCCGCACCAACAGAAAGATCCTTCAGAGTTCAGCTCCTGTTTTGACCCAGGGGAGGCACCAGGTAGAGCTGTTGGCCTGATGTGTCCCCTGATTTTGGCACAGAAGGTATTGGCAGGGAAGGCTTTGATCTAATGCAGGAAGCCCCAGTTCTGTTAAGGGAGGAGTGTTGTCCCTAATTGTAGCAAGGTGTGGGCCCTGAGTGCTAATTGGGGGAAGGAATTACCTACCAAACAGGCTTTTCTCAGAGCACTGACCCAGTCACCACCCCTGTGAGACCTCAGGCAGGGTAGCCATGCGGCATGCCCTGACCTCCCCCTGTGAGAGCCTCTGTGAGGTGACAGGCTAGTTCTGACCCTGTGATTGAGGTCTGTACAGGCAGGAACCCCAGGCTCTGATGCGTGTCAAGGTGAGGACTCTAAGTGATCACTAAGTGACCATCGAATCCAAAATTTTGGGTTCCCTAGAGCCTCGGCCCACCCCTATTATTGGCCCTCAAAGGTTACCCAATAGCCTTGCCCTGTGGACGCCCCTAAAACACCTTGGTGGGATGTAACATACCCTAGAATCCTGTCTTTTGTGACCGAAGTGCCGGAAAGCTACCACCTTTGCATTCAGCTGTGTGAGCTCAACATCACAATGGAGGCTCAGGACTGTTCAGGATTCATGGTGAGTACCCTCAATGTTGACTGAGGGGACCACCTATCCCAGAATACGGGAGACACTATAAAGTCTAGACCCTCCCTCCAGCCTCAGTGCCATCAGGCTGAGTTAAGCCTGAAAAGTCTCAGGAATGAAGGGCCATGATATGAAGG